TCATCCAATATCATTTAATGACAGAACTCACCGAGCAAACAGAGCTCGGGCCAACGCCAACCTCATCCTCCATCCTCCTGAGAACTCCCTGGGGGGGGGGGCAGACAGACAGAGAGACATTGTTGAGCGTCTTATTGCCTCATCATGAGATGATCATGTGACAGGCGATGTCTCACCTCGTCATCTGCTGTTGCATTTTGGGAGAGAACCCGAGACCTGCCAGGATGACGGAAGCTCTGATTGGACGAGACAAATTAATAAAGTCAACAGACTGTGATCACATGTAAACAGTTTGAGATACACAGTAACTGTTGCAGTAATTACAGTACAGTAAGTAACAGTAAGTAAGTGTTACAGTAAGTAACAGTTTGTTGCTGTGGTTGCCATGGTTACCGGGCCGGGGCTTTGTCGGCTTCGATCTCCTCCAGTTTGACGTAGATCTCCGACAGTCGAACGCTCTCCATCCCTTCAGCACTGAAACAAGATCAGAGCGCCAACATTGCATGACAACAGCACCTGTTACACCTGTTTGGCATCTGTTTCACCACTGGTCCATCAACACTGTCAGCAGTGTATTGATAGATTACTAACTGAGGAATAAATTACTAACTGAGGAATAGATTACTAACTGAGGAATAAATTACTAACTGATGAATAAATTACTAACTGTGGAATAGATTACTAACTGATGTATTAATCTTACGTTCCGTTGGCGATGCGAGCGTTCAGCCTCTTCTCCTCGTCCAGCAGCTCCTCTCTCTGCGTATCACTCTCCAGGACGCTCTGCAGCGCCGCCGTCTCATCCCCAGCAACTTCCTGTTCCACATGGAGGATAGAGATGTGAGCCGGGACACGGAGGTTACGACTCGCCAACATCTTCAGCAGCGTTGTCTTCCCCAAACCGTTACGACCAATCAGACCGTACCGCCGACCTGATGCCAGAGAGAGCTCTGCCCCCTGCAGCAGACACCTATGCACAAAAAATATTAAACATACAGAGAAGTAGTACATATACACATATATAATTAATCTAGACAAAAATATGAAATA